CGGCGAACAGGTCAGTACATGATTAGTACACATCGAAGAGATGGAAGCTTTCCCTGCCATGCTTGGGCTTGCTCGCTCAGGCTTGACCCCTAAGTTCAAAGTGGGGTTCACACTGCCCTCAATGTAACGTAGAACCGAAACAAGGGTTGCCAAAGGAAGATTCCTCGAATGACCATGTTTGGCTTCCAGTTTTATCTGCAGAAAAAATGAAAAATAACAAAAACAGGAGAACAAAAGAACGAACTCATTTGGCTCCGTTAGTGGTTTGCTCGGGATAAGGAACTCTCCGGAGCAGTTAGGTGGATTCGGGCCGACCTCTTGACCCGTGGGCTTGGCTGAATAGCGACAGGGCGACCGCATGTCCAAAGGGTCAATTTTGATAGGGCACGGTTCTTAGCCGGACGAACTCCCCTCCCCCTGGGGCCCTTGGCAGATGCCGGGAGTCAAAAAGATGTGATTGAACTGGGTGAATTATAACGACCTTACACGACCGAATTCACCCCAAAATGGTGGTTTATGTGGGGAATGGCCCCCCAACCACCGCAAGTTTCAGGCTGGTGAAATCTTGTTCCACCACAAGTTCCAGATTCAACCAGGCTACATCCAGCAGCTGCGGGATGTGCGTGAAGGGAAGGCGCGGAAGGGAGGGCCACCTTGGATGACCTCTTGGGATTCGTCTTCCAATCCTCCGGGCCCGGAGTCGACCCGGAGGCCCGGAGGAGTTCTTGGTAACTCGATTCTAGCGGATCCGACTTTAAATGGCTCAACGCAACTCCCAGACTTGGCTGGGCATGTACGTTGGGGAATGTGTTTTTTCTTTTGGGGGTGGGGAAAAGGGCAGCAAGGTTTGAACAAGTGAGAATGGATCTCAGAGATTGCAACCATGAAGGCTCTTTTTTTGCGAGACCTGGTGTTTCAGGCTGAATCCTCGAGGTATGTCGTAGCACATGTTGCTTGGGGAGATTGCGTACCTACTTTCACCCAGGCGCATTTCGCACAATCCCGCTCACCTGTGCAAGTCACCACCCACGAACCTATAGCCCCATCGACCCTTGTTTATGAATTGACCCCCCCAATTAGAAACTGAAATCAGGGTGTTCTAGGCATATCGAGATCCGCCTACAAAGGCATTGCAATGTGTTTCACTGCCCCTGGCCCATGCCCCTGGCAAACACAACGAAGCAGAGGGTACGCGAGCGAAAAATGATCCCCTCCCAACAAAAAAGAAGAACACTGGTTGCGGTGTTTCTTTTGGTTTCCCTTCAAAACAATCCCTTTTACTGTAAAAGGGTATGGAGCCTCAGAAAAGACGAGACACTTACTTTGGCTTTGGGCCCATTAGTATATGCGCAGAATTATACATAACATAGGTAGTATTCACCTACGTTGATTTATAGCATATGGAATTCTGAGTGTAAACTCAACAGCTGTTTTTGATCATATGTATACATATATACATATATATATATATATATTAGGGCTTGCCTCTATCAATAAATTCCATGCCTTCTTTACGCGGGCAAGGAGGGGCTGTACAACATTTACCCTAATTTTGTCGGTAATTTACCCCCAATTCTGTGGGTTATTTACCCACAAGTTTGTCCAATTTTGTTGGTTATTTACCCCCAATTTTGTTGGTTATTTACCCCCAATTTTGTCGGTAATGTACCCCCAATTGTGTGGGTTATTTACCCCCAACTTTGTTGGTAATTTACCCACAATTGTGTTGGTAATTTACCCCCAATTTTGTGGCAATTTATCCCAAGTTTGGGACTCGTTATTAACCCCCAATTTTGGAAAACTGGGGGTTAATAACGAGTCGAAGATTTACCCCCCAATTATTGGACTCGTAAATAACCCACAAAATTGGGAGTAAATTACCGACAAAATTAGGGGTTTGCAACAAAATTGGGGGTAAATAACCAACAAAATTGGGGGTAAATAAGGGTGAAATTTGAGGTAAATTGGTGGTAAAGAGTTACTGCTACAGGCAAGGCTTGATATATATATATATATATATAGATTTTTATATTGCCATTTTTCCCCCCAGGCCACTTGTATTGTATATTCCTTGCATAGGTATATGCATATCCTTCTTATTTCGACTCGATGATCTCTCAGGTGGTTGATGTGGAGGGCTCCAGCGGCCCGACGCCGAGCACGCTGCCCCCTGCGTGTTGCATCTCGGCGGCGTGGATTTTGGGTTTGGATGTTTGCCTTGTTTTTTTTGTTCAGAGTGGCGGGCTTTCATGTTTCCCCACATTTTGCAGATTTGCCTGCTGGTGCGAGAGATGCAGAGAATGAGAATTGGAATGACCCCTATGAACCAACCATTTCTTGTATTTCCTCTAAGGAGTTTTTTTGGTTTGTTCCCACATTCCCTTCTGAGCACCGGCAAGTTGCACGAGGTGCTGGCAAGGGCTCAATTCGCACCCAGGGATGAAACCACCGACGCCCAACAACCGCTGTTTCGACCATGTCCGAAATTTCCCGGGTTGCCCCCCCCCCCAAACAACTTCTTTTTTGTCCAGAGTCCCCCCCTTCCCCCTTACTGTCCAAACAGCAGTGGTTGGGGGGCGTGCTGGAGAGTGTGGTTGTGGTTGGTGTCTTTTTTGGAGGGTACCCCAATTTGGGGGTCGGGTGTAACGTGGAAAGCAAAGCAGCGCAGCAACACCAGCCATTTTGGTTTGGACAAGCAGACAGCCCAAAGCAGGTGGTAAGCAACAGGCAACGAAAGGACAGCCTGGTGGGTGGAAAACTAAGTGCAGCCAACGATGTTCCGAGGCACCTTGGAGCTGTCTGGACATCTCTTCGACACGCCCGGAGTCCTGAAATCAGTCGAAATGCCCCCGGAGTCAACACTTGTCAGCACATGGATGTGTTGATATTTTTGTTGAGGGACCCGTTTTCGGTTGGTTTCAGAGAGCCAAAAAAACATAAAGCAAAATCCACTTGTCATTTGTACCTACCTACATGAATCAAAAGGACCAGAGAGGTAAGCTGACGATTCGAGTTGCCTGACACCTTGTCAGATTCACCGAACTCCGCTTCTTAAGTCATTCTTCCTGCCGGGACGCGCACAATCAAATATGTTTTGGCAAGCCATCGCTTGTACATGAGGCGCCTCATCAACCGCCTGGCCGACCTGTGCCTCGGCTGCTCTTTTCGATGCACCAGAGGGTGCTACGCAAAAGGGGTCGCAGTACATTGTCACAAACTTGGGCCCTCGATTGGAGTAAATCAATCTTGTCTTGGAACGGGCCCTTGTGCAAGCAATTTCCCCTATGCTTCCATCAGTTGAAAATGGAAACGTTTTGAGACCTGGGAGGGACCTCCAGTATGCTCCATTATTGGTGGTACTTGGTTCATGCCCCTGCATTCCCTGGCTGCCCTCCCACCTTACTATTCGTGACTATTCGCACTGGTTTTGGGAGGGTATGAACAACAGGAAGCCTTTCTTGGGCGCTATGCACACGCACAGCTCAGGATTACCCTCCAACCAATTCACAGCCCAACCAGGACCATTTTCCGTTTAAAGGGACAGTTTATCCGAAAAATATGGTTCCATGTTACCTGGTTGGAGGGTTGTGTTTTTTGGTTTGCCATCGGGGCTGCCAGGTGCGAGGAGGCCGTGGCCCGCATGCAGATTCTCGTGCCCGGGACCCCGGGAATTCAAAAGCCAGAGAGGCCATAAGCCCACGCCTGGCCTTAGGCAGGAAATATGGCAGGGCTAAGGTTTACACCCTTATGGCAGGGCTAAGGCTACACCCTTTTTTTGAAGTCCAGGAAGTGTTCCTATGCGGACGCCCACATTGCCCTTTGTTTGTCCATTCCTTTGGACAAGGATACGACTGGAGAACATTCAAAGATGAGCAGAGGTGGGTCGTGTTTTCTCTGGGAGCCTTCTGAGTGGGGGGTCCTAAATGAGGCAGCAACCAACAAAGGGGGGAAGCTTCCCCCCGTGTAGGAAGCTAGAAAGCCCTGGGTGGGTGGGACGTTTCCCCGAATGCCGGCACTGCGTTTGGCGAGCAACCCTGACAAATAGTGTCCGTGTTTTGCAACAGTCTGGAGAAAAAACAATTTGCTGGTGCTCAGGGGCCAGGGGGGAATGACCGTTCCGGGTGTTGGGAATGAACCGGAAGGGGATTCCCTTAGAGGAAACCAACTCGGGGGTGTTTTTTTTTCTTTTTCGGGTTCATTTCATTTCTCACTCCCTGCCAATCGAACCATGACAAGTGAGGATCAGTTTAGGATGAGCCCAGCTTCGTCAAATCCTCAACGAAGCTTCGTAGCATCCATGTTCCGAGGCTCGACTTGGGCAGAACCGTGGAGAATGAGAGCTTCCTCTTAGCCATGGCACCTTGGCGCGTTAGACGTTCGTTGGTTGCGCCGCAACTGGGTTGCCACTTTGCTCTTGGCGCGTTAGACATGTTGCGCGGGTTGCCACTTCGCTGCCACTCTGAGTCGTCCGATCCTTGCCAAAGCCTGGAGTTTGAAGATGGGGAAGGCATGGGAATCAAACAGGAAACGGCAATCTATTGGGCCTGAAAGGGATGGGCGCCGAACTCATTACCAGAGGAAGCTGGAGAATTTCGTGTTGCAAAAGTTTGCTCAGAGGAGTCGGAGGTTCAAGACGGCTGGGATCTTCGGTTCTAGCTTACAGATAGGGTGTGTGTGTGTGTGTGTTCCTGCTTTTTTGCAGCTACACCAAGACGGTTTGTCAACCATGTTGTTTCGGCTTCTGAGAGACTGACTTTGCCCACCGTTCAAGAAGTCATGACGGAAGTTGACCGTACTTTCCTTTGGGAAAGGGGCCTCCGCATTTCCATTCGCGGGAGGGAGAACATATTGTGGCCGGCTTCCCGAGCCGCAGAGATGAATCAAGGTTGCTTGTGACTCGCGGATACAGGGAAAGGGCTCGTTTGCCATCCTTAACTTGCGTGACTTCTCTCTGTTTGTGTCCTAGTGTTGGGTTCCAAGCATGTCTATCTGTTTTTGCCATGTCAGCCCAAAGGCACATATTTTGTTTAGAACTGTTTTTTTGAGCAAACGAGTCCTTCCACTCAACACAACATGCAGTGTACCTCCCCCGGCAAAAGAACAAAGTAGCTCCGTTAGTACTCCTCCAAAAACAACATGTAACATGTCAATGCAACGCCTTGTGGTACTCTCATATCGTATCTTTCCGTACTACCATCAAAACTGGCAAAAGCACCTCATAAACAAACACATCTCCGCAACATCACAAACAGGTCTGCACTTGTTGGACCGCGTTCGGCCAGAGTGACCTGTTGCAGGTCATGGCATCCTCGGAGAAGAGCCTGGAGACCTTGGTGTCCAGGACCTCCCGATTTTTGGTTTGACCAGAGGGGAGGCGTGGGAAGAAATCTGGCTTTGACTGCCTGAACAAAAACGTTTTGTTGTGCGTTTGAAGGCCAAAGACTTCCCAATGCCCTTTGGCTTGTCAGTCGTGAATACTCATTAGTTGCTCTGAAGTCTCATGCCCTTTGTCAGTTGCGAGTAGTCACTAGTCACTCTGAGTTGCATGGCTGTACTTGATTTGCTCTGGCTTTGCTTTGAGCGACGCCTCACTCGCAGCTTGGAAGCGCATTGGCCGATCGCGAGGATCGAGGCCCTGGCAGCAGAGACCAACGTGGGCTTCCGGCGGGCAGCACAGGGGGCCTTGCTGCCGAAGGCGGGGATTCGATGGATTCGGTCGATGGAGGGATCAGACGGAGTGACCGAAGTCCACCTTTCACCCTTCCGGTGTTCGAACTTTTTTGCCAATTTTGCATATTCGACTATTCGAAAGCTGAGAAGCTTGTTCATATCCCTTGGGGAAGTGGGGCCCGCAGGGTGGCTTGCAAGTCCACAAATCCCATTCAACAAAGAACACCCATGCGCATTCAATGGGGCCCTGGCTCGCACCTACCGAGTTTTGCAGGCCGTGCGTAGCTGCTGGGGTTTGCGCATAGCTTCTGGATCCCGCGCCCTATTTCTGAGGTCTTCGCGTAGCTTTAATGCAATTGAGCGCGGAAATTGTCGATTGTCGACTGAGCGCAGTAGGGCGCAACTACAACTAGGCTTAGTGCATAGTGCCAGAGTCGCAGCCACAGATACAGAAGATGATCAATCAATAGTACTTGAATTCGAATGAATTCGAAACATGTGCCCGGCATAGGTTGATGAAAGGTCAATCGGCAAGCCAGCGCAAAATACACATACCCACGCACCACCACCCCCATTAGAATCCGCGTGGAAAGAGAACGTCTACCTGAACAGAGACGAGGAGACACGCAACCTGCCCAAGCAAAAGCCACAAGACTGACTCCCTGAGTTGGACTTTCGTCATTTTGGGAAGACCCTTTGGGTCGCTTTATCAAGAAGTTCCAAGGACTTTGGGCCCATCCACTCAGGAAGCGAGAAGAGAACTGCGAGTCTCTTTGAGGACTCACCGGGCGGATCTGTTTTGCACCGCGCCTCGGGTTAGGAGGCCGAAGCGCCATCCACTGCGCCGGGGCCGAAGAAGAAGGCGCGGGGCTTTTCGACAGACCGCTTCGGGGATGGTGTCAACTCCTGGGCGCCGGGGGTCCGTTTTAAGCTTGGTTGAAAATATATGGCACTGGTGTCGGTTAAGTTCTGAGTTCTGATCATTTGCCAGTGCTTTGTTTTTAATATGAGGCCTATCATGGCCATTCCCGGGGAACACATGTTTATTGTCCTCAAAAAAGTAAAAATCCAAACAGATATCACGGAAGGCGGCCGTTCAACGCCTTGTGGCGCATTCTGAAGCAAGGCGAAGCCTCTCTCTTGGCATCCCCTTGAATCCCTGGGCCATGATGTTCAGGGAATTTCAATCATGTCTCATATCCACAGGGCCCTTTGAACCCATTGAAATATGGGAAATATATACGTGTATATATATATATACACTATGAATATATATATATATATATGTATGGTACCCCCCCTTTTCAGGGACCTAGCTGTTTGCAGAATTCCTCTCGCCAAACAAGCAGAGCCCCAGGTGCTGGTCCTGGGTGCGGGCCACGTCTGCGCGCCCCTGGTGGCCTATTTGGCCAAGGCCGGCTGTGAGCTCCTCGTGGCCTCCGTGGAGCGCCGGGACTTGGAGCAGCTGAAGCGCCTGCCAGGCGCAAGCTGGCGGATCGGTCGACGCGCTTGACGCAGGTCCCCACGAAAGGACGCCCCCGGGGATGTTGTTTTGCTGCGTTTTTTTTTTTTTTTTGTTATTTGTTTTTCTGTGTGTGTGTGTGTTTGTTTGTTGTTGTTTGTGTTTTTGCTTGTTTGTTATTTTGCTGTTTTGTTTGCTGGTTTGTTTGTTTGTTTGTTTGTTTGTCTGTCTGTCTGTCTGTCTGTCTGTCTGTCTGTCTGTCTGTCTGTCTGTCTGTCTGTCTGTCTGTCTGTCTTTGCGTTTGTCTGTCTGTCTGTCTGTTCTGTCTGTCCTGTCGATCCTGTCTGTCCTGTCTGTCCTGTCTGTCCTGTCTGTCCTGTCTGTCTGTCCTGTCTGTCCTGTCTGT